GCACAATACCTGTTAGTGCTTTCCCTTTTTTCCTGTAGTAAACACCAAAGATGACAGCAGCAACTACTGCTGCACATATGAAGAAAAGCAGAATAATTAAACCGGGCAAGTAAATCTGGGGTTCTGTATTGGAAGAAAGTGAGAAATATGGCATTAGAGATTATTTAATTTTATTAAGCTTAAAAACAAAACCCTATAAATCAAACCCCAGAATCAAGGACGTTGGTCTGGAATGAGCTAAGTAGGAAGCTCCCCAGCTCCAACTGTGTTTGTCAGCGTGCCTCACACTCTGAGGGTGGGACCCACAATTTAGCCCAGCCCTGGTCACTCTGCCTTCCCCAGGCACGAGGTCAGCCAGGGCCATTATGATGTTTCTACTCTAGGACAACTCTAACTGCGCTCACCATGCTGCCCAGCTTCATCCTGGCTTAGCTCCAGAACCCCCCCACCTCCCCAGGTGGGTGCTTCTGCAGGAAGAACGAAGCCCTTCATCCTGTCTTGTTCCTAACAGCAACATGGCACCAGGTCTTGCTGGTCTTGAGAACACAACCACGGTCATCCAGTGACATATTCCCACTGCTTCATCTATGACACGATGTGCACTTGACTCTTTTCTTCATCCCTCCTCGATCACTTCTTTGCCAGAAAAATCTTCACATTATGAACTCTTGGTTTACTTGTTCTGGTTTCCTGGACTCCTATCTTTCCTCTCCTCTCTTTTTTAAAAATAACCATTTTTCCCTTAGTTATTTTTAATGTTATCTACAAAATGGTCTTTCATAAACTGTGCTCTGATTGTATAACTTCATATCCAGAATGCTGTAACGTCTTACTTTTTCCCGAAATGTCAAATCTAAACCCTGATTTTCTTGGTCAAAGCCCGTTAACCCTGTTATTCCGTGGCCTGCATCAGCAAGGTCTTCTTGCCACTTAGGCCATCTCTTCCAATAGCTGGACCCACCTCCGCACTGCCTCACCACGTGTCTCAACCACGGCTAAGTGATAGACTTTTGATCACTTTGATGATGGTCTCACCCACCCTGAGTAGCCAGCTTCCAGCATTAACCATCGACTTTCTGTCACTCTTTGAAGCTGTGCTTAAGATTAATTTAATCTACAAAATGTTCCATAAATAATGATAGGTAGCTGTTACTAGTTATCCCCAATCCAGTGTAGAAAATTATCAAGGAAACAACATCTGGAATTAAAATGCTGATAAAAATGAAACACTGAGCTGACCACGGACAGGATGAAATGAAAAGGGAGATGAACTCCTGCAGGGGAAGATCCAGCATGTCATTCGGGCGAGGTCCAGACGAGCTGACTATACCAGGGCACATCTGCCAACCAGCTCTTTTAAAACATACCATTTGGTGGCTTTCTAGATGGCAGAGAAGAACTGCAAACCACATCTGATTTATCCGTCCCGGGATGTTCTACTGTCTTTCCAAGGATGGTACAGCTGTTGGGGGAAAGTAGTTAAGTGCTTTGATTTTATATTCTTGCTTAAACACACACACACACACACACACACAAATGAAAACCTGCACTGGGTTGCCAGCTCTCTCTGGAGAGGAACCCACATCTTCTTGGACTTTTGCATCCCCAGAGAAGCAGCACATCACAAGGGTGGGAAAACTGAGTGAACAAAAGCAACCACTGCCCATGTCCTTATGAACTACTCTGGGAGTGTGGTCAACAAGAGAGTGTGGATCAGGGTCTTTGGTAAAGAACATTCCAGTAGCTTCAATAACCATGGGTAAGTGATACACTTTTGAGGATTTTGATGATGGTTCTTTCAAAGTTGAAAAATACAGAAAATCCTCTTCAACATAAAACGTGCATAAGTGGATCAGAAAATAAACAATTAATATGCAATATACTGGGAATTGAAAGAATCATTACGTGGATTTTTAGCATTCAACATCAAGCACGCAGTGAAAGGACCCAGGAATTCCACTATAGATATACTCACATGTGAGTGAAAAAGTACATATGTGACAGTCTTCATTACAAAATTGTGTATTGCAAAAGACTAGAAACAACCTAAATGACTATCAATAGGGAACTTAATAAATCATGGTACATCTCTACAATGGAATACTCTGCAGCTGTAAAAAGCTACAAAGATCTAGGTGAACTGATATAGAAAACGCTTC